GCAAAAATCCAAATTCGGACTCGAACATGGTCAAAATTTAATTCCAAAAGTTTTCATGAAAATACGTAATACAGTTCGAGGACATGAATGCGCATCAAGAAATGTGCACAAAAACACTCAGTACAAAGATACGCACATAAGTAAGAGTACGAAAGCATGCACAAAAGTACTCACGCAAATGTGCATTCGCAAAAAGGATCATGAAAATGCAAACTACAATCCTAGGACATTTATACAAATAAACAAACATGCACAAGCAAACTCGCTCAAATGGACATGCACTAACGAACATGTAAAAAAATATGCGCAAAAGTGCATTCGCAACAACGTTCTTAAAAAAACGAACTACAATACTAAGACTTTAATACGCATCAACAAACAATAACAAAAACACTAGATAAAAAAAGATAGAGTGTCTTCCTTTGCTGCAGAATATGAAGAATCTAGGTCAAACCCTTATTTATTTTCACCAACAAATTTCGAATTTATTTCCTCATTAAATGGTGCTCCAATTGGTCAACCTACTCACCAACTAGTACGCATTAAATGGACCGCTTCATTGCAGCCATTAACACTTGGACGGCTACTTCTGTCAAATGTATCACACTTAATGCCTCTCATCATTGTTTCTTGAACCATACGAATGGTGGTAGATGTGAACAGCATTCAATACTTTTGTAAGAAATATTGATGTATGCTTGCACACATTCATGAAGGTTGCCTAGGATTACGTTATTACATTTTCCAGGTCCTTTAATTTGTTATGTTTATTATTTCATTTGTTGAACACGGTTTCATGAATGCTTAACATTTGTTGAACACGGTTTCACGGTTCCTTTAATAATATTACGGCCGGTTGTATATGTAGTTGACATGTTTTTTTTATATTTTGTCAGAGTGGGTGCACTATATTTCCTGCCAACATTCTTGTCAGCCATTAATTGAACAAGAAATATAACCGCTACCTACAATCATTAATTATTGTTTATTTATTTTCATTAGGTAGGGTTCCTTTATTTGTATAAATGTGGATTGAGTAGGAGCCAATGTGAAGTGTGGCTGCAGCAAATAACAATGCCAGAATCCTGCGGGAAAAAATTTGAAATTTTTTTTTTTTCTGAAAAAAAAAGTTTTGGGTCATAATTGAATAGTTTGTGAAATTTGGGGTCAAATTGAGGTTAAATTAAGTAAGGATGAAATTGGAGCATATTAAAATATGAAGGGTTATTTTAGTCCTTTACAAAAATCTGGACCATGTGTGGACTTATTGGTAAAGGAAATTTTTGTCCGGATCTCTTTATGAATAAGTATCCATTGATGGGCTTATTTGTAATCACCCCTTCAAAAATTAGAATTTATCCCCTTGTTTTTTATAACATCATTTCAATGAGTTTTCTCACTTACATATCATTTAGGGTTAAATACACTTTACACCCATGTACTATAGCACTGTCACATTTACCGCCTAAATTATCAAATGTGACAAAATGACCCATGTTTTTAACAGACAATTCTTACTGTCTTAACACCGTTAAATAGCATGCTGCAGTTACATTTATACCCTTACCACTACGACCAACTGAATGAAAAAAAGCTTCTGCAACTTCTGACATTTGCTAAAGTTTCTACCAACTGTACAAAGCTCTGTTCTTCGCCCAAAATTATCTCCGATGAGTGACTTCATAATTGCAAATGAAAAAAAAAAAGTCATCTTTCGTTTCTCTTCCTGGAGTCATCACAATTGTTAAAATCCTCCAAAGACCCAAACGTGATTAAAGATAAGGTTTAAAGAATCATCCAAAAACAAATTTTATTAAACCACACATCCGAAGAAGTTGGACGTTTATCAAACCCATTTTTCTATTAAGCTTACAATAGGGTGCAAATTTTATTTATGATGATTATTTTTTTTTCAAAATTCCAATTTGCATTTCTCTATTAAGCTTACAATAGGGTGGTGACTGGTGAAGTATTTTTCTGGGTGATCTAATTACAATTACATATTATAGAATTTGATTGAACAAAAAATAAATAATTTTGCGGAAAAAGAGAAATTATAATAATAAGGACAAAATAAATTACATATAAAATGGATTTTTTTATAATTTAAAGACCAGGAATAATTGTTTTTATGGCTCTATAAGATTCTCAAATATTTATATATTATACATTTTATGCAAAAGTTTTAATTAAGTATTTCATTTTTTTTGGGTAATTGTTTTGTCCGTTTGTTCTACATATATTTATTTAAAGGGTAAAACTGTCTTTAAAAAAAGCTATTGGTAATGCGCCACGCCATCCTTGGTGGATAGAAGAACTAACGGTTGCTAACAGCAGGGATTGTTTTGTCGCTGATGATGCTAAAGTTTAGATTACCTAGGGTAGTGTAGAAAATGGACTGGGAGAGCAAAGCAGATCAGTAGCTTGACAACTTGATGATCCTGAGGTACCTGCGATCACAGAACACATGAACTAGGCCGGGGGTTGATCCGGCGGAAACCCCTCCGACGCTCAAGTCAGACGTGTGGATAGTGAAAATAGTCCAGAGAATACAATTGTGGTAGTATTTCTCAGATAATAGGACGTACCTTAAGGAATGAGTTCAAACCTTTATTTATAGCTTAGATGAGATTGTCGGGCCCAAACCTTACTTGAAGGTGATTGGGCCTCGGTGATAATGGTCTTCGATATTGGGCTCGTGGCCCAGTAGGTAAATAATTTGTAGGCCCATTGGGGTGGGCCAATTAGGCATATCATTAAGCCCCCCACTCTCGAGTCGATGTGGGAGCCATGTTGAAATGGGTTCTCGATTGTGTCGAGAGTAAAAATTGTAGTGGTCGCTCTTTGGCATATGGCCTGATGGTGTGCGAAAACGTGTTGGAGCGTGTGTCAGAGGGGCGTGATGGCGCGTTGACGCGTAGCACGACCAAGTTATTGTGATGAAAGTTACTTGAGTCGTCGATGTTGTTCCGCGACGATGTAGTAGCGAATTATCTACTCGTGGGAGTTGTCTCGTCGCGGGGTAATAGAGTTGATCGAGTTATCTCTTCGTGGGAGTTGTCTCGCAATAATGTAGTAGCACGGATCAAGTAATCTCCTCGTGGGAGTTGTTATTTATTGACATTGTTAATGTTTCGACGCGTTGCTCGTATGTGTTTACATATAGCCTTGTGCGTGATGTACTTGACGAGGGGATCAAGCTCTCAAGATTTTTTTTATGGGGGGATCGTGCCCCTTGTTAGACCTCGTAGGTTGTAAGTATGTTTGGACTGTGGCCACGTTTTAATGAAGGACCCGTCGAAAACAAGTAGAGAAATTTGAGTAATCAAGCTGGCCAGGCTATATAGATTCCCATAATATCTCTAAGTGTTTCTAAGGTTGTAATCGTGCTAACTCGAGTTTGCGATAGTGAATTGCGAGCGAGTTGTCTCCTCGAGAGAGTTGTCTTACAGCGAAGTTGTAGGAGCATTGGATGACGCGCGGTTGAGGAGCGTACGGATTGACGTCGCTCTGAGCGAGTTATCTCCTCGTGGGAGTTGTCCCGCAGCGAGTCTTATCATCCAGCGAGGTGGCTGCACGTGGGAGTTGCCTTGCAACGGATTTATAGTGCCGAGCGAGTTGACTCCTCGTGGGAGTTGTCCCGCTGCGGGTTGGGGTACCGAGCGAGTTGGCTCCTCGTGGGAGTTGTCTCGCTGCGGGTTCGTAGTACCGAGCGAGTTGGCTCCTCGTGGGAGTTGTCTCGCTGCGGGTTGTAGTACGGAGCGAGTGGTCTCCTCGTGGGAGTTATCTCGCTGTGGTTTTGAGATCCGATGGAGTTGGCTCCTCGTGGGAGTTGCCTTGCAACGGGTTATAGGACGGAGCGAGTGGTCTCCTCGTGGGAGTTGTCTCACTGTGGTTTCGTAGACCCGAGTGAGTTGGCTCCTCGTGGGAGTTGCCTCGCAACGGGTTATATGACCGAGCGAGTTATCTCCTCGTGGGAGTTGTCTCGCTACGGGTTGTAGTTTCGAGCGAGTTGGCTCCTCGTGGGAGTTGTCTCGTTGTGTGTTGTAGGACAGAGCGAGTTGTCTCCTCGTGGGAGTTATCTCGCTGTAGGTTTTAGGACAGAGCGAGTTGTCTCCTCGTGGAAGTTGTCCCGCCAGCCCCCCACTCTCAAGTCGATGTGGGAGCCAAGTCGAAAAGGGTACCGGATCGTGTCGAGAGTAGATCGGTGCTATAGTGTACCGTTAGTCGTTGGCGTGGTGTGGAGAAATAATAATTTTTATTTATCAGTTTGAGAGTGTACGCGAATTGGTGGGGCGCGCTGGATAGCTTGCGCAATTTGGTGGAGCGCGTTGAAATTCTCGCGCGATTTGGTGAAGTGCGTCAAAATCTACGCGGAATTTGGTGGAGAGCAGTAAAGGGGCCTTGAAAAGGGGCGCGCACGCATGGGAAGGCGCGGGCGCGTGCATGGGAAGCCGCGCGCGCGTGCAGGGCTGCGGAAAAGGTCCCAGGCGCGTGCTCTCACGCGCTTCTCAATATATATATATATATTTTTATTTTTTTTCTGTGCATGAGCGCGCTGCCCATTGGGCGCGTGGCAACCACGCGCGCGTGCAGTGCACGCGCCCTTTTTTTTTTTTTTGCTGTGCACGTGCGCCTCTTGCTTTTTTTTTTTTTTCTTTTTCTTTTTCTTCTTCTGTTTCTTTCTTCTTTCTTTCTTCTTCTTCTAATTCTTCTTCTTTTTTCTTTTCTTCTTTTATCTTCTTCTTTTTTCTTCTTCTTCTTTTTCTTGTTTTTTTTTTCTTCATCTTCTTTTTTCTTCTTCTTTTTTCTTGTTTCTTTTTTCTTCATCTTCTTCTTTTTTTATCTTCATCTTCTTTTTTTTTTTTCATCTTCTTTTTTTTTCTTTATTATTTTTCTTTCTTCTTCTTGTTCTTGGGCCTCGCGTGTGCGATTTTACCCTTTTTTTTTTTTTTGGGTGGTTGATGTTCACCCCTTGGGATGTTCTAATTTTTGAGTAGGAAGATTATACTGGTCTCTCGAGATGTGATGTGAACCCACTTGGGGTTGAAAGGTAAGGGTGATGCCCAACCTTGGGATGGGTTAACCACCCACTGTAGGATGAGGCGCTCGAGACCTATGGTCTGAGGTGGATGCACACGGTTGTGTCGTTGCTTCAGTGACAACACGAGTTGAAGCTTTCGCGGTCGTATGCTGAAGGTCCTTATCGGTTATCTGAACCGTTAGACGAGCAAATAGAAGTTGATATTGTTGAAGTTTCGGCGATCATACGCTGAAGGTCCTCATCGGTTATCTGAACCGTTAGAGGAGCAAGTAGAAGTTGATTTTGTTGAAGCTTCTGCAATCATACGTTGAAGGTCCTCATCGGTTATCTGAACCGTTAGAGGAGCAAGTAGAAGTTGATTTTGTTGAAGTTTATGCGATCATACGCTGAAGGTCCTCATCGGTTATCTGAACCGTTAGAGGGAGGGCGGAGGTAGGCCCCAGTGAGTCGATAACCCTTGGCGAACGAAATGTTTTGGGGGCACTGTAAACCCCCAGGGAGTCGATAACCCTTGGCGAACGAAATATTTTGGGGGCAGATGTAAGCCCCCAGGGAATCGATAACCCTTGGCGAACGAAATATTTTGGGGGCAGATGTAAGGCCCCAGGGAGTCGATAACCCTTGGCGAACGAAATATTTTGGGGGCAGATGTAAGCCCCCAGGGAGTCTATAACCCTTGCTAGCGTTGAAGGGCCTCCTCGGTAGTCTGAAGCGATCGAGAGGCGGGAAGAAGTGAATCCTGTTGAGGATCTAGTGGGACATCCGAGGAATGTCTCGTGGTGGATCCCGAGTACGAGGAGGAGGAAGTGGCAAGCCAGAGCCTCCACGAGGTAGGAGGTCGTTAGCTGTGTCATTTTCTCTCCGAGCAGACGCCTCAGGAGGATCTTGTTGGCTACGTGATCTGGTTTGCATCGTTCCCACAGACGGCGCCAAAATGATGATGCTAAAGTTTAGATCACCTGGGGTAGTGTAGAAAATGGACTGGGAGAGCAAAGCGGATCAGTAGCTTGACAACTTGATGATCCATAGGTATCTGCGATCACAGAACACATGAACTAGGCCGGGGTTGATCCGGCGGAAACCCCTCCGACGCTCAAGTCAGACGTGTGGATAGTGAAAATAGTCCAGAGAATACAATTGTGGTAGTATTGCTCAGATAATAGGACGTACCTTAAGGAATGAGTTCAAACCTTTATTTATAGCTTAGTTGAGATTGTCGGGCCCAAACCTTACTTGAAGGTGATTGGGCCTCGGTGATAGTGGTCTTCGATATTGGGCTCGTGGCCCAGTAGGAAAATAATTTGTAGGCCCATTGGGTTGGGCCAATTAGGCATATCAGTCGCATTTGATAGTTCCGGGGGTAATGCGACAGGGATTATAGTACAGGGGTGCAAAGTGTATTTAACCCTATCATTTATGAAAGTATCATCTTACCATATTTTTTCGTAAAAACATATTAAGAAGACATAATAAATCAAATGTAGTTTCATTTACGGGTTATAAAAGTTTCGTATAATTTTTTTATTATTAAAGATGTTTATTTAATTTACACATTTCGATAAAAGAAAAAACATAAATTTATATTAATGAAAACAATAGTAAATAAAAACATTCTAGAGGTTTGAGATGTAAACCATGAAACTAAATCAAGGCACTAAAAATATTTTACTGACTATTAAGAAAAATCATTTTCTTATGTTTCGTAGATCCTACTGAAATTTGATTTCTCCAATAAATGGAATACATATTTCCCAACCTTTCATATTCTGTTTATGTGTTAAATAAAAGGGGAAAAAAAAAGAAAAAAAGAAAACAAAACAAAGATTCATGCCAATATATTTAATTGGATGTACTGATTTCACTTTAAATAACATTTTTACCTAACAAATAGCCACAAGTAATACATACATATATAATAAATTAATAATAAGAGTATTATAGGTATCACAAATAATTTTAAAAACTAAAATAACATTCATATATATATAATTAATAAAATTTGGGTTCATAGCAATTTAATTCGAAAGAAAAAAAATGTAGCAAAGTGCATTAATCCATGTGTTTAATCTAGCAAAATCTAATAATCCGGGTCTTCATGTTGCTGCTTGAATCGTATGTACTTTATTTGTAAAATGGATATACATTTATGAAATTCTAAACATTTATGCATGTTCCTGAATAGAAATTTAATATGGGATAGTTAGCAAGAACCCCTCATCTAGAAAAATGAGTTACAGAAACGTCTCTCTCAAAAATAATTAGAGAAAACCCCTTTTGCTAATATTCCACCTATGTGATATTTTCATAATTTCAAAACCACCCTTAATTGTCTATTATACTCTTTCAAAACCCTAATTTTATTTTTATTTTTTCATCCGCCGTTTTCACGGTTCATCGTTTCTCTTATTCTCTCTTTTCTCTTTTTCTCTGTTTTTCTCTTCTTCTTTTTTTTTTTCCTCTATTTTCTACGACAATCTTCCGCCATTGGCGTCGCCGCCGCCAGGAGATGGAGAAAGAAAAAAGAGGAAGCACCCATCAAACATTATAAATGATTTTGATAGCGATTCTGAATTCGAATGCCAGGATTGCTACATCGGAGGCTAATAGAGATAAGATTGTCGATTTGTCGCCGGAATCGGATTTTGATGGGTGGTGGTTCTGCTTTGGTTGGTGCGAGTTGTGATTTTATTTATTTATTTGTAAGAAAAAACCGTCATAATGTCAAAATAAGGTGGTGATGGTGTGTTGTGGCGGTGGTGTGGTGACGATGGTGAGGCATATTTAGGGTTTTTTGGTGGATCAGGCGGAGGACGGCGCCTCTAGAGAATTTCGCGCAGGCTGAAACCTTAATCGACTATGTACATGTTCATAGTCGATTAAGCTAATCGACTATGCTCTCGCAGTCGATTAAGGTTGATCGACTCCATTTTTTTTATTTTTCTTGAATTTTTTGTTTATTGATTCCGACTGTATAAATCATTAATAATATTTGTATATTTTTTGTTTTTGTAAAATATTGTTGATTTTTTCGCAATTGTGATTTGTTATGTTTAGTAGCAGATTCTTGATCGACTATGCTTCATTATAGTCGATTAATATACCTGATATAGAAAAAAAAATTTAAAAATTAAAGATTTTCCTTAATCGACTATGAAGCATAGTCGATTATAAGGCTAATCGACTATGCTTCATAGTCTAATCGACTATGCTTCATAGTCGATTAAGGAAACTGATACAGAAAAGAAGGGGAAAAAACGGGAAAAAAAATAAAAAAATTCGCTGAGCGCGTGACCCAATGATGATGTGGCGGGTGGGGGCAAAGCTGGAAAACATAATGACTCAAAATGGATGTGGGCTTTTCTCAAATGGACTGAAATATTTTGGACCTCTCTCCATTAAAAACTAATGAGGGGTTTTCCTCAAAGAGCCCCATTTAATATAGCAGTGCTATACAATAATGTGAGGTCGCAAAGTGCTTCTGTGGAAACATTTCCCGTTACATTTATTCACATTTATTTGGTAGTGAATTAAAAATAATCATTCTGAAAAACACAATCAGTTTTAGGATTTTGACCATAGTTTATTGTTAACATGTGATAGCACATACCAGGAACAACAAAAAAAAAAAAAAAAAAAAAAAAGGAAACCAAAGAGTTTGGTTTTTAATGAAAATATGACAACCTAAACAATTGAAACTATATTAATTACAGATCATTAAATATTTATCATTAAACTTGAAATAGTAGAATTGCATATAAACACAAAACCAATACAAACAACATGTGCAATTGTTTTAAGGGGAAACTAGTATTCACCCGTGCGATGCACGGGGTGGCATATTTTCAACTGAAAATACATGTCTGTAAAACAAATTTACACAGATATCAATTGTTACGCTCATTGAATTTAACTACAAAACGTTATCGACCAACAATATTAAAAATATGTAATGAGTATTAGGTTCTTGATAGTTACAATATAAGAATAATATTAAATATTAGTATATCGACAAACATAAATCCTAAAGTTAATAAGATTTACAGCGAGCATCCTAGGACATGAATGAAAACAACATCGCATGGGGGAAAACATATAGGAAAGATAGACCTGCCAAAGAATAAGGTGTTAAAAAAAATAAAAGACATGATGCATGAAGAACTGATAAATATGAAAATAATTTCTACCTTCAAATTCGATGAAATACTTCCTTGTACACGACATTTCTAGTAACATTGGTGAGTTCACCCGAATCCGACTTGATGTGTATCTTAATGACACCTCTGCTCTTAACTCTGGACACTACAACATATAGTTGATCATGGCTGAAGACAGGCCTAGGAAGATACAAACCAACATGCGAAAGAGTTTGGTCTTCGCTTTTATTGATCGTCATTGCAAAAGAAACAATCAACGAAAATTGTCTTCTCTTAAATTTAGTTGGCAGTCTGGGGTTAGATGGTATTAAAGTCATCCGAGGAATGAATACCATGTCACCGATATTTTTACCGAAAAGAAGTTTGCAATTTAGAACGTGAATGCCGGTTCTAATAATTTGAAGGCTGGTCCCGTTGCACAATCCTCTAGCTTGATCGATGTTCCTTATTAGCATAACAGGTACACCGACCTTGAACTTCAATACATGAGAAGGAACTCCCGAGCATCTTTTGTGTTGAGAAATTTAGTCGAATAGATTTTTGCATTATCCTCCGTTGTTTGCTCATCCCTAACATACTATATGAGCTCAAGTAGACCTTCTCCTCATCTGGAAGGAGAGACATAAAGTAATCGTTCACAGACTCGACGTATTCATTAGTTGCTGCAAGAATTGCCCTCCCTTGAAAATAGTCTGGATTATACATGTTACTCAAAAAATTGGGATAAACGAAGTTCAGTAGGTCTCTGAATGAATCTTCTGAATCACCAATCAGCATGTCCTCGGGAATCTCTAACGAAGCTTCTCTATCATTTTGTTCCCTAACATCCCCATTACCAACCTTCAGTATCCTGTCACCAAATTTTCTTACCTCGTCCACATTAGTTGGAGAAGAACATGACTGCAATCTCATGTTCTTACTCAACATCATGACACGACAGAAATGCCACAACGGAGAGGAGTTTACCGTAACATGTACTATGTCCTACCTTGATGCTATGAGTACAACTCGTAAAATCTGCCTAAAATCTACTCCAAGAACAACCACCTTACCTCCAATTGTCTACCTGTAATATTGACTTAATTGTCTTGTTAAGCACTTCAAAACAATACCTATGCTCATAGGAGCCTCGTCCCATATAATAAGCTTAGCTCTAATCAGCAACTCCACATGTGGACTTTGTTGCGTTATGCTGTAGGTGGAAGTCTCGTGTACATTTATGGGTGTCCAAATCGAGAATGAGCTGTTCTTCCACCGGGGAGCAATAACGATGCTATACTACTGAATGCAACATTAACTACAATCTCTCCCTTGGAACAGACTGCATCCGAAAGAATTTTCCAGAGAAACGTCTTTCATGTCCCACCATGACCACATAGAAAGAACATTCCACCATGGTCATTAGATATAGAGCATCCATGACTACATCATAAACCTTTCTTTGCTGGTCTGTAACTGAGGCAAGACACTGTTGAAGTTCTTTGCCCATTTCAAACCGGTCGTAATCCAGTTCATCTAAGACCAATATGTTTACTATGTCCTCCAGCACAAATTCGATTGGAAATGGCATGGGCGGGTAATTACGTAGACTTTTACCATTACTTTGCAATATTTTCTCTATTTTAGTGATAGTATAGTTCATCAAACTTTCATCCGATATAGATAAATCACCACAGAAATTTGATACATTATGTGCATTTAGTTCAAAACTCAAAGAGTCAATATTAAAAAATTGAGTAATATTTAAAATCTAATTGAATAATGTGCCATACCTGGATTATTATGAAATCGTTGTTGTTTGTAAACAATACCCTCCAACTTTGCCTAACATGTTCGGTCCGGCTTAAGCTATTGGAAAGTAGCATAACCACAAATAACCTCCTTATATAATCCTCAGATGCCCAAGCATTCACTTCTCTTATCGCATCTATGTATTCTTTGTCGTTGTCTAACAAACCCAACACATAGCACACATCCATGAACATATGGTAGACGTAGCCAGCAACTTTTCTGATGTCCTCGTAACACGTGCAACCCCTCTGAATGTTAAGTAGCAACCTAAGGTAATAGTCTTCCCCCTCCCCAGGGGGAACATTCGCAATCCTACCAATAGAAAATCCTCTTTTTCTTGGCGACCAAGTGCGAGAACCCTCCTTATACACAAACTGTTATGGGAAATCCTCGTACCTCAAGTCCGTGGCATGTGGACAATTCTTGTTCGCCTCAAACCACGCTAAGAACATCGTTTGATTGGCAGATGGCGTATGCAGAATACTTTGTAATGACTGGTTTTCATTGAAGACAAGCGGCTGATGATCAGGGAGATGAAAGCTTAGCCTAATTACATATGATCTCTGTAATGAATATCAAAATTAAACAGCATCCACATTGCCTCACATGCCGAAAGATATTTACAGTCGTAGTACATCTTTATCTCGTCACGAATCTCAGCGCCGCCATCTGTATTGCGTGTTTCATAAAATATCGGCGTAACTCGATCATGGCCCTTGTTGACCTATTTGAACAGGTATTTGATTGACTTGTTTTGGTTGCATAGCTCTATATTAATGGTAGCTTTGTATTTACTCAACAATACCCGATTGTACGGAACTACAAACCCATTATCAAGAGTACTCTTCTTCTTCATAACTGTTTTGCATCTTTTCTTGTCCTGTACACAGTATAACCATATGCGTCTGACTCAGTTCGTTGCACAAATGGCTTTGGAACTTGCTTCGTGCAAACCCGATCCTTCATACAGGGAGATTTTAAATTCGCCTGACCGTACGGTCCATGTATCATATACTTCTCCACCAACTGGTACATTTTTCTGTCAGTTTCTTCGTCAGGAATTTCAGTACATATAATCCTATCAATTTCTTCTGGGGTCTTAGGCTTTTCATCATTTTGAAACCACAACAAAATATGTGCATGCGGTAGACTCGCTTCTGAAATTCAATAGTGCACACGTCTACAGAGGAACTGTAAATAAATGATATTAAACAATATGCATTAATTTAGTTAATGAATAAATAAATATTTAAACACACATGATCCATATCTCTAATTCCTACAATTGTAGTAAATGTATAATTATAAATTTAGATCTAATTTAATACTTACATGCTCTAATACGTCCGAATATACACTATTTCTTAATTTCTGTCATCATACTATCGAGCTTCATCTTGAACACACGACACATAATGTCTGGCCGATCCCCCGGCATGAGATTTGTATCTTTCAACACCATTTGTATTTCATGCCGTTGAGGATTGCATGCGATGGTGATGAAGTGAGTTATAAATCCTATAATGTGAAAATAAACAATCGTTAAATATAGTTGTAATAAGATTTGATAAATGGTTCCTATTTGTATTTTATTGAAAATGTACGAATAAATAATATAGCAAATAAATTCGTCCAATTTTTTTCTAACAGTCTTACGTATGAAATCATCTTGCATCGAGTAAGAAGAATGCGACGACATCTGACTTATCACTTGACCACTATTCGGTTTACTCCGAATGAAACTAAAATAAAAAAATGCATGCTAATAAATCGTAATGAAAGAAATACATGTAAAAACAAAGTAATTAATTTATTTAAAGATAAAATTATAACCTCGATTTGAATTCGTTAATTGCATGAATATCCTCATTTATAGCACACACAATGAATGCCAATGGTTAGATACCTGGACTTCACCTAAGAAAACATAAGAATAGTCATGAAATGTAATAAATGTCCTTCACATTCATTAAACCAAATAAATAAGAGAAATATTGAGCAAATTAATACCATTCTTAATCTCAGTCGTTGCAAATTGTATTACAACAATATATACGGCCCTAAACCAATATCATGACTTTGTTGAAGTATGTAGTCAGCAAACTTTCCCCACAACAAACAGTTGACCTTCGAACCACTTGCATATCAAAGAAAACGATGATGGATATGAAAAACACATGTATATATATAAAAATTAAAATCTAAAAAATAAATTTCAGTGAGTTTTAAATTACTCAATATCTTCAAGTTCAAATGGAATGTTTTGTTTGGTTCCACCCGCTAGGTGAGCCAATGAACCTATCGACAAAAGCGAACCAATAATATCTGCAATCAATATTAACACATTGTAAGAAAACACTCTATAAATAAATGCTAATAGAAAGAAAAAAAAAGTCATATAAACAACTAATACCTAGCATATACTCATTGTTGTTCGAAGCTTGCTGGATATCTGCGTAAGGTGTGAACTTAAATGAATATATTGGAATGGATGAACGTTAACTTCTCTCACCGTAGATGTATATTCATAATTGACTCTATAATCATTCAATGCATGCTTGTAGGTCTTGACACTAAAAAAAAAGCGGATAGGTTTGACATGACATAACATCTGTTCTCTCTGATCTTAGACTCAAATATGTATAACAGTGTATACTTAATGGGAACTTGCACTGTGTCGCCCTGCATAATGAAGAAAACAAATGTGATAATATAGTTAATAAATAATCATATTCCATGTCATACAATTAAGCAATTTTCTATAAATCAATTCCACAACTTTCGATTTAAATATATTTATATGCCTAATTAGAATTAATTATAGATCGGATACATATTTATAAAAGATTACATCAATATTAATTATTATAAAGGAAACAAAATCTATATTGTGGGAAAATATCCATATAAAAATAAATATCTATATGTATAGTGGGAAAATATATATGTGTAAAAACAATTCATAGTGTATAATTTCATTTTGGAAAGGCATATTTTGATATATATATATATATATATATATATATATATATATATATATATATATA